ATGACTGACTATCAGCCACGCGGACCACGGCCCTGCTCTCCAGCCTCGCTGCTAGCAGCTGTTCTGGGGACCTCAGCTGTAAGCCCACCTCCCTCACCTTCCTGCAAAGACCCCTCGTGTGTGCTCTGGCTCAGCTGACCCGGCCTCACTCCCGCAGTCGGCATCACCTTCTACGGCCCGATTCTAGGCTATATCTTCCCAGATTTCTCTGCCTACAGCTGCGTCCTCTCCTGCACTGAGGATGACACTGTTTCAGTCTCTTATGTGCTGTGCCAGCTGCTGATGTGTCTGTTGTCCCCAGTCGATCAGAAGCATTTAGAATTGCAAGCATCTTACCCACCTTTGTCTTCAGGCAGCTTTTAATAGAGTGCCTTGCACATAGGTTATCTGTAAATTTTTGTTGAGTTGAGGAGAGATCTTACACATCATCGGCTAACAGGAAATCAAGGGCTTTCTCAATGATTCACCTCCTCTGACTTGGAGAAACCTGAGCATCAGAAGGTCGTGACCTCCCATTTCACGCCCACAGTGCCCAGCACCACGCCAGCACACATGTAGGTGCTCGGATGACGGCTGATCCTTGGAAGAGCGATGGGAGATTTAGAAATGGCATTTAAGGCAAGGAGAACACAGGCTGGGGCATCTGTGAGCTTCCTCAAATTTCCTAGAACTGGGGTTCTCGGCATAGAGAACTAACCTGCCCTTTATTACAATGGATATATTTCAGCCCTCTGTTTTGGAAACTCTGGATGAGAATGCTAAAATGGATACAGCTCAGGGGTACTCAGCGTTTTTACAAAGGCAGAGAGGTATTTGTCTGTCAGATGCCAGGCTGGCAATATAAAAATGTGGTTTAACTAGAAATAAGAATGGTGTATTTAAAGGGAGAGTTAAACAAAATTAGCAAGAAAATTCCACCTGCTGATTACATCATTAGGTTTTTTTTTTTTTTAATCTATAAAGGTGTGCAAGTTATAGAAGGACCAGCAAACTGTAGTTTGAGTTCTGTAGAATTATCTTAGCAAATGAGTTGTGAGAAATAATGAGCTAAATTCCAGCTACTGGAGTGAAGTCATGCAAGTCACCACTGTAAGGAGTGAAAAATTGAGGGGGCGGGGGGACCCCCCCCTTATAATCCCTCTCATCATAGCTTTTGTTTTGGTTCCAAAGAAGTTATTTTTTTCATTGGTCATGTAGTTACAGACCTCACAGTTGATTCAATTTTTAGAAATATGCTCCCCTATAATTCAGAATGGCTGGCAAATCACTTGTTATGTTAAATACAGAATTACCATAAATGGACTACTCATTTTTAAGAAATGAAGTAAGATAAAATACAGAACATAAAAGATATACTTAGTACATGGGAAAATCACATTTATTTTGATACAGAGGTCAGTTTAGGAGTTGGCGGTCCCTTAGAGGGGATATTCAGGGCTTACAGAAGTAGAAAGAGGAGGAAATTAGTCTAAATGTGGATTACACCTGAAGCATCCTGGAATTTCTTCATTAAAAGTAAACCACTAGGGTTTCCCTGGTGGCGCAGTGGTTGAGAGTCCGCCTGCCGATGCCGGGGACACGGGGTCGTGCCCCGGTCCAGGAAGATCCCACATGCCGCGGAGCGGCTGGGCCCCTGAGCCATGGCCGCTGAGCCTGCGCGTCCAGAGCCTGCGCCCCGCAATGGGAGAGGCCACAGCAGTGAGAGGCCCGCGTACCGCGAAAAAAAAAAAAAAAGTAAACCACTAGGGTTTCCCTGGTGGCGCAGGGCTTGAGAGTCCGCCTGCCGATGCAGGAGACGCGGGTTCGTGCCCCGTTTCGGGGAGATCCCACATGCCGCGGAGCGGCTGGGCCCCTGAGCCATGGCCGCTGAGCCTGCGCGTCCAGAGCCTGCGCCCCGCAATGGGAGAGGCCACAGCAGTGAGAGGCCCGCGTACCGCGAAAAAAAAAAAAAAAGTAAACCACTAGGGTTTCCCTGGTGGCGCAGGGCTTGAGAGTCCGCCTGCCGATGCAGGAGACGCGGGTTCGTGCCCCGTTTCGGGGAGATCCCACATGCCGCGGAGCGGCTGGGCCCCTGAGCCATGGCCGCTGAGCCTGCGCGTCCAGAGCCTGCGCCCCGCAATGGGAGAGGCCACAGCAGTGAGAGGCCCGCGTACCGCGAAAAAAAAAAAAAAAGTAAACCACTAGGGTTTCCCTGGTGGCGCAGGGCTTGAGAGTCCGCCTGCCGATGCAGGAGACGCGGGTTCGTGCCCCGTTTCGGGGAGATCCCACATGCCGCGGAGCGGCTGGGCCCCTGAGCCATGGCCGCTGAGCCTGCGCGTCCAGAGCCTGCGCCCCGCAATGGGAGAGGCCACAGCAGTGAGAGGCCCGCGTACCGCGAAAAAAAAAAAAAAAAAAAAAAAAAGAATCCAGGGAGTGAAGGCGCATAGCTGTGACTCCACGCACTGTGATTTCTCTCACATGCTGGTGGATAAACCCCCAGCTCCTCCTCATTCATCTAAAAACTCATACGACGCCTGGAGTGACCCACTGGAGGCCCTATCAAATCAGAGCTGTGGTGTTTGGCTTCAAAGGTGATAGAACAAATTAGTAATTAAAGGTCTGGTTGAACAAAATACATGCTCAGGTGCCCACTGACTTCAGGTAGCCCCGCCGGGAACAGCCTTTTACTGTGACAGATGAAACGGTCTAACATAGAACTTTAAACAGAAATAAGGATATAATCAATTAAATTCTACCTACTTTTCTCTCTTATAAGAGAAATAAGTAGGTATGTAAGGCCAAGCTTTTAGGTGATGTGAGCAGATGCCCCTTGTTGATCCTAGAAGTGGCCGAGTGTTGGGAATGTTTCCTTCTTAGATGCCTTGGCTTGGGAAGGCACGAAACTTCCCGAGATGTTGTTATAAACAGGGATTAAAGTCCAATTAAGGATGATTCAGTATAAGTAGTATTTTAGCCTTTTTCACAAATCAGCTTTGTTTTCACCTTCTTGCTTATTACCAGATATTTATGAAAGCAATCAACACTGAGCTTGTCTGCCCTTCACAGCACAAATAGCCTCTGTTCTTTGTCCCATGAGAGGCCCAACTGGAAAGCAGTTGTCAGTTCAAAGTGGCACGTGAGTCTCAAAACAAGCCCTTGGACTAACACAGACCGATACCTTCTGTATCTGCCGCGTGGATATTCCAAGGTCTGTACCAGACACTCAGTGGGTGCAGACTGAATGAACATAGGGCCAGCTGGAACACGTGTTAAATCTGTGTCAACAGCACTCGTCCCGTATACAAATGCGATGCTGTTTTCGAGGTGCTGCTAGTAATAAATACCAGACCGGAAAAATGCTGCATTGGGCAATGCTTTAAGCAGGATTTCAACCTTCTGCTTTGTTCTTGTTTTCAAGACCGAGATGCAGTTTCTCAACAAGCCCCAAATCATGTGAGTCCTCACGTTTCTCACAATTCTTTCTTTCCTGTTAGTGTGTTTAAATGAAGGGACATGCTCATCACCACGTTCTTTACGGACAAGGAACCTTTTTCTTTTTGTCTGCTTTTAAGTGTCACCCAGAGAGGAAGTGCAGCTGGTGTCAGACAGCGAGGAGGTGGCCTGGCCTTCCAGCCACCATTCACTCGTTCGGTGCACTTACTGGGTGTCTACAGAAGATGCTAATGGTCCATCAGTGGAAACCTTGGGAACACTAAGAACTCCCCTCTCCTGGGAGGAGCTGGGAACCACATTAATTTGCTTTTTACAATTCATTACTGCATTTTGGTGGCCTTGGGAGAAAATCTGAGAAGTTCACCGGGTACAGGGGAAATCAGAGGCCTTTCTTGTTTTCTTAATGATTTAATGCTTGAATTACCCTCTTTCTCGACTATTGGTTTGTATAATCTAAAAAAAAGCTAGATGGACATATATTTAATTTATGACATGGAAAACAGTACTTTAGTGAAATGCAACGTTGTGAAAGATACACTGTGAAACAATGCAAGAAACGTCAACAAATTGAGCAACAAGTAGAGCACGTGACAGGCTTCCACTTGAACCTTCTATGTGAGGCCAGTGAGAAGTGTGCAAGGTGGATTATATTTAGAGTGGAGATTTATTTTCACACTAACTTAAGGGAAAATATAGATAAAACCCCCCTTCCTTATGGCATATCATTTCATCTGCTAGATTAAAAACTTTTAAGGTATAAATTGTATCAATAGTTCTCCCATTTATCCATAATTTACCCTAGTACCTAACATACCATAGGCTTTAAAATAATTTATAAAGAAAGAAGTGAAGGAGGTAAGAAAACAGTGACAAAAGCAGCATTAAATAAAACGCAATGGCCTGAGGGCTTCTGCCTCTGGGAAGATCAAGTAGACTTCTCCCTCTTTCTCTCGAGAAGTAAAAGCCCTGAATGTTATAAATAAGACAAACATAAGAGGACTCTGGAAGGTGGAGAAAAGAAGGCAGACCAGCCAGGGACAGCGGGGCTCCAGATCTGACACGGTGGCCAGTGCTTTGAGCTTTTGTTTGTTGGTCTCCTATGTCTTTAGTGTTACACAAGCTGGCAGCCCAGAAATGCCAACGGGCACAAATGACAAGAGGGCCAACGGAAGTCTGTCCTCTCTACTGGAAAGGGGGAGCTGGGGAGACAAAAGCCTTTCAGACGACAACTGCTCCACCACGGGACAACGCGCACCCCACCCGCCAGCCAAGGCAGAGCTGGGAGCCCTGACCCCCAGCCTGGCCAGGCTGCATAAGACCCAGCCCTCACCAAGGGGCATCCGAGAACCCCTAGTAGAGGCCGGAGCTGCCGTCTCCACTGCACAGCAAAGAGACCCCACGGAGCTGCAGGTGGGACCGCACGTGGAGCCCGGGTGTCCTGCTCCCCTGCCCCCAAGGACGAGGAAGCACCCCACCCCCTGCCGTGGACAAGCCCCAGGAAGCCAGCTGACACAGAAGACCCAGAGGCTCAGAACCAGAACAGCTGCTGCGCAGCGGAACCCCGTTACCTGCTCCTGAAATATTTTGGCCAGGGGTGCACAGTCCGTCAGCTTGATGAACCTCACCACGTCTGTCACCGACCACTCCAAGGGGTTGCTCTCCAGGACCAGCCTTTCCTCCTCCTCTTGCTTCACCGCCTGCAGAGGGAAGGGAAGCAGGAGGCTGTTTTCTCACTTCCCGGCTGGCAGGACCCTCTCTGAACCCTGAGGACTGGAGCCGGGCTTTCTGGACCACTTGCGGCCTCCTCACGAGGCACCTGGACAGGTGCAGAGGCGGCCGGTATCCAGGGACGCTCTTAGCAACTCGTCTGGGTTATGACTTTGCTCCAAAGACTTGTGTATCTTTAGAGGTTAAAAAAAAAAGGCACAGTGATGGCCGCTGTTGACCCCCAAGTTCAGGAGCTCTGGGGCTGAGTGCGGGATCTCTGGTCGAGGAGGAGACAGGGCAGGAGCCGGTGTAGGCGCGCGAGGCCGCTATGCCCCCATTTACGTGTGTGACGCTGGTGCCAGCGACCTTCCAGCTGATCGTGTAACACGTGGTCTCAGGGGAGACCAGATACCCCGACTACACACTTTATAGCATCACAAGGTCTCCTAAGGAGGGAAAGCCTAGTGTTTAATGAGACCTTGAGGACTTATTCTGTCTGTTCTCCTGGCAAGAATCCCTGTGGTTTTAAAACCTTCCGGAAAAAGAGGGACGATTACTTCTCCCAAAGCCCCATCCTGAGGTTCACCGTCCTGCTCTGTGGGATATGGAATCACCAAGCTTTCTGCCCCTGATTTAGCAACACAGCCAGAGCAGCTGCTAGCGTTTAACTTAAACAGGGGTCCCCCAAGTGAGGTTCCGTGCTGCCCCACGGGGGACCCCAGACGGGCCAGCTGAAGTGGCCTGAGCTTTACCTCCGCTGCTTCCTGGCTGGAGGCCGGGCCCCGGGGGGCCCCCTCGGCGCTGGGGGTGGCCCGGGCCCTCCGGCCCCTCCGCGTCCTCTCCACGGGCGCCCGGCGCTCGAGCTCCGAGCTGCTTCTCAGGGTCACGGCCCTCCGGGGCCGGGCGGAGGGCACCTCGGCCGAGGATGTGTCCGTCTGGTCATCACGGAGCTCGGAGCCGGTCTCCTCACTCCCGGTGTCATCGTCCAGGGCGTCCGCATCCTCCTCTTCACTTTCCTAGGAGGACGGAAGATGCACTGAGGTGGTGGGGAAGGGGGCCTCTGGGAAGGTGGGGAAGGGGGCCTCCGGGAAGGCGGGGGAGGGGGCCCGCAACTCCACCCCAGACCCTCTCCTGACCAGGTGCCGGTGTCACCCTCCCGCTGAGATGTGTCCAAGGACGCCTCGGAAGATGGATCCCATGGTCCCACCCCGGGTCCCACCTGCAGCCCCTTCCCAGCCGAGACGCTGCAATGTTAAGTCTGCGTTCGACAAATAAGGAGGGGGTTCTGGCAGTTCACGATTTTCACCATTTAGCATCAAACTTCAACCTGGCCTTGGCTGTGAAGCCAGGGCCGCGCTTCCCGATCGAATGCGGGGAGCTTCCGAGCAGAACATACCTCCCCGGAGCCTGCGGCAAAGCCCACGGTAGAGGACCTCCGTTTCTTCTGCACAAAAATGGATTTTCGTCGTTTCCTGCGTCTGGCCGGTTTAGGATGTCCGCTTTCAGCACTGCTTTCTCCAATCGGGGGCTTAATGATCTTCTTTCTCTTCCCATAATAATAAGCTACAGGGAGAGAGATGATGAGATTAAAAACTTCATTAAAAGGTTACACCCGGGCTTCCCTGGTGGCGCAGTGGTTGAGAGTCCGCCTGCCGATGCAGGGGATACGGGTTCGTGCCCCGGTCTGGGAAGATCCCACCTGCCGCGAAGCGGCTGGGCCCGTGAGCCATGGCTGCTGAGCCTGCATCGTCCGGAGCCTGTGCTCCGCAACGGGAGAGGCCACAACAGTGAGAGGCCCGCGTACCGCAAAAAAAAAACCCCCAAAAAACAAAAAAAACTTCACATCCCATTTACACCTCAGGAAACAGTTCTGAGAAAACAGCTCCACAGGGGGGAAACCTGCCCCCAGTGCCCTCGTGTTTACAAGCTATTATGGACAGAACAGTGTCATCTGCCACCTGCACAACCCCTCGCAAATTCAAATGTAGAAGCCCTAACCCCCAATGTGACTGCATCTGGAGATGGGCCTTTAGGGAGGTGATTACAGTTAATGAGGTTATAAGGGTGAGGCCCTGACCCAATAGGACCGATATCCCGACAAGATGAGGAAGAGACACCAGGGATGCACAGAGGGAGGACCCTGTGGGGACACACGGACGAGGCGGCCGACTGCAAGGCAAGGAGAGAGGCCCCAGGAGAAACCAGCCCTGCTGACACCTCGATCTGGACTTGCAGCCTCCAAAACTGGGAGAAATGAATGTCTGTTGTTTAAGCCCTCAAGTCTGTGGGACTTTGATGTGGCGGCCCGAGCAGACTGAGACAGAAGGTGAGCCAAACAAGCTTAGAGTTATTTCAGGAGTTTCTCTCTGCTCCCCTTCCTTGCCCCCAACACTGCACACAGTGGTGGCAACCACTCCCACTGGAGATGCTCCAACAGCTGCCCCCGAGTCTGAAGTTTGAAGAATGAACAAGCACAGTGAACACCTACTGGAGGGCCCTGGTCACGAAGGATTTCCCCATCTCTCGATCTGACCAAGACCAACTGGCAAACACACAGCCCAAATTAATGGGACACCTTCTGTCCTTTCAAATAGTGTTCCTTACCTACTACATAACTATGCACTTTATTCTTTTCTCTCTCAGTGGAGACTTTCATTACTTCTGAATTCAATAACAGAGTTATATGTCTGTATTACCACCTAGAGCAACAGTTAGAAAATTATTTACCAACTTTCAATAATGATTGATGTATTTTATCATTTGAATGTATAATCAACTAACTAAAACCTATTATGGGTCCAGTTTTCAATTATGATCAACACTGAGATGCTTCTTCATTAGCCAAAGCCTCAACTGTTCCACATGGAACTCCCATTATTCCATAAAAGAACCAGATGCACCAAAGGAACCTTTATCTATGGCTGGAGGCATACAAAGGAAAATACCAAATGCACGGCTCCTGGATGACAGCGGCTGTTTCCCACCCTGCAGTGAAACACGTGTCCACCCATCCCCACACTACAGTACCTTAGAGGAAAGTCACTCAGCCTCCACACCTCAAACTCCTTATATGCAAAATGACCGACTAGTGTAGGTTTCTTTCAGGACTAAAGCTGTCTATTTCCAGTGCCATCCACTTGCATTTGGTCTGTAAAGATGGCACTTATAAAACTGCCAAGAAACGCCATGGGGCTCTTGGGTGTGAACAAACACTTATCCATTAGTGTCTGACACCTAGAGAGAACCACAAAGCAGCTCATCCTGGAGTGTGGTCGCAGCAGAGCTGGAGACATCCCCATCCCTTCCTTATTCTAGGAGAGAAACAAGTATCTACTAAGTAAACCTTAAAGAATTCTCCCGTAGCAATTCCTAGGAAAAACTATGTAAAAGGTGTTTAAACAAAAACAAACAAATAAACAAACAAACAAAAAAACAGCCCACCAACTACATGACTGCCTGGTCTGTGGGTAGGCCCACAGACCAACATTCTTTTCAGATTTGCACTTACTGTATTTGGTTTTGGTGTGAATGGAGCAGTTCTCCGGGCAGTTTTCAGAAACCAGCACAGGACTGAACAAATTTGGACAGCATTCGAGCTTGGCACAAACACGGCGGCAGAAATCCGCTACTTGGTCAGATGTTCGGACGATCTTGGCCACGGCCCTGTATGTTTTGCCTCTATACCTAGAAACAAAGAAGAAAAAGTGATGGAGAGACCACACACTTACTCAGATCTATTTTGTACAGTGGATTCCAAAGCGGCCCATTCACTTTCTAAAAACAAAGCAGGTTGTGTGTGGTTTCTCTGTCATTTGTTTTCATTGTTCCTTATGAGTTCACAAAAATATTTTTAAGAAATGCCCAGCACCATGGGCAATGTATGTGGCGACCAGGCTAAAACAGGATCCCAAAATAAAGATTCCCAGTTGGTGTATTCTCACCTGGGTCTACGTAACTGAACATCCCTCCAGAATGCTTCTGGAATCTAGATAGTGTCACTCGTTGCTCATGACCCTTGAGGAAGAAAACCTTTCTCCTCCCCAAGAAAAGCCACGTGAAGTCACCAACGAAAAACTAGAGACCAGATCTTCTGGAAAGCAGGTTGGATGGACTCCTGTTTTAAAAATAAGTACTACAGCCCTCATCAAAATGCCTATTTAATAATGATGTAAACCATGCTGGCTGAAAAGGTGAGCTCTTCGAAATGGTTTGAGTCACCTTTCAATACAGTTTTTAAAACTATCATTGGCACAAAATAATGATAAATTTCTCAGTTGGCAACAGATCATATGTCTTTATTTACTTCACATCTCATTAAGCTTAAGAGTCCACTGAAATGAGAATACATCAAAATAGCTGGGCCTGTTAAACTATGTCCTTGATGTGCACCCTAATTTTCAAGTTGAAATCCTGAACGATAATTTATTTTCCAGGAAAACTGCACGTAGTGGTAGCTCTGGCTGAGAGCACTTGTGTTAATTTTTGGAAAACTAAGCAAAATTGAGAGAGAAAGAACCACCAAGGAAGGCTGACCTTGTCAGTTTCCACATCAGCAGTGTCAACCTGCTCCTTTACACAGTTGTACGCAGATCTTCTTTGATCCCAATAAACCCACCTTAAGTTAAAAATATCATAAGTCGGAAATGCATGTAATACACCCAACCTACCGAACATCAGAGCTTAGCCTGGCCTACCTTAAATGTGCTCAGGACACTCACATTAACCTATGGCTGGGCACAATCATCCAACACAAAGCTTATATCATAATAAAGTGTTGACTATCTCGTGTAATTTAGTGAATACAGGAAGTGAAAAACAGAATGGTTGTCTGGGTCTAGAATGGTTGTTAAGAGTACCTGCTGTCCACCCTCGTGATTGCAGGGCTGACAGGGAGCACACTTTGAAACAGTACAGGAAGGCAGCACGACGGAGGAACCAGGAAGGACTGCCTCCCTGCTGTGAACGTGGGGACCCACTCAGAGTCTCAGAGTGCACACAAAGACTATTTTAAGAGGAAGATGTTTACGATTCAACAGATGCAGAAAGCAGCTTTCTTGGAGTTTCCATTATCTGACTAAAGGCAGAAATTTCTGAGCAATGAGGATCGCCATAAATCCCCTCTTTTCGGGGGCGCTTCTCATCCTAGGGATAAACCTACCATAAATCCCCTCTTGGAGGAGTTTCATGGCCTTGAAGAAGACAGAAAGGCCACTCCTGCCTGCATAAACAAACTATTCCAAACTTTCTTATCTCCCAGTTTTTCTCCTAAAAACCCACTTGTCTTTCCCAAAGAAACCTATTTCTTCTTCCCCAGAGGCCTTTTCTCCCCACTCCCTTCCCCCCCACTAAGTTAGGGATGACTTAGGTATAAGCTCCAAACCCTAACTGTCCCTTTGACTTACACATCATAGAGCACTTCTGTGTGTACATCCATTGCACCAGGAAAGAAATGGTCTTTTTTTTTTTTTCCTGTCTTTTGACAGTTTAGTTTGCAGGCTCCCAGGTACTGAACCTAAGAGGGTAGATGAAGGGGTTTTCCCCCTGACATCAATAAGGAAGTGTGGGTAGCCTTCCAATAATTTCCTATCAGCCAAAGTAGGGATTTATGTCCACATGTGAGTGCATGTGGCAGGGTGGAGACAGACAGATGAAGATGGACAAACAAGAGCTCTGGGGAAAACGGTCTCTTCTCTTTCAGTTGAAGAGTTGAGAAAAATCAAAATGGATGTTGAGTCAAAAAGAAATACAAAGTGAAAACACCAACACTGATCCAAGCAGAATGACTTCAATTTGTCCTAAGTTCTATCATTCATCTTTCAAAATGACCCACATCAGGACCTTTTTTAAAAATCTTGTGATGCAAGATTTACTTGTGACAGGACTATGGTGACAGTGGAGAATAAGGCTCCAGTCTGTCAAGGTGAATTCACATCCTCAAATATTTAAGGAAGAATTAAAAGGGGAAAATAAGATGATAACTGCAGAAATAAGGATGCGTGGCACACAGTGAGAAAAATCGCTCTTCTCACTAGCAATAAATAGTAAGAGATGGCCCCGACTTCCTTCAAAACAAAGCTTTTACTTCACTGGTCACAGATTCTTAATCTAGAGCTAGGGTCAGTGCAACACTAGCTTTCAGTCTTAAGGTATTCAACCTCAGAAATTTCTCTCTTCCTTCTCTATTTCTGTATTTCAAGTCATGGGAACTCTGTGTGATAAATGGGGTGGGTGTTTATTTTATGAAAGACAACCTCTAATTCAGAACATCCTAAACTGGTCTGTGTGTGACCCAGGAACGCCACGCCCATAACCTGATGAATTTATTACACACCGAAATTCAGTCTTCTCTTCAGAAATGGGTTCACCCGCTTGCTTAACGTAATTTTTACAGCGTACATTTTCACGAGAGCAAATTTCACAAATCTGAGCAAAGTAAAAATTAACATATGAACCAACAAAATCTTTTTTCAGTGAAAAGTCTCTCAGTTTGGGAATCCTTTTTCACATATATCTCCTTGATAGTCAAATATTACATCTTACTGTTCATAAAGCATGGGCATGAATAAATGCCCCCCAAAAGGTAAAATAAATGAAAACACATACAAAATTGTCATAGCTTATGAAAAAAGAAACCAAAATATCGTTTCCATAGAGCTGAACATGACTCACCTATAAGTAAAGATTTGACTTTATCTCCTTGCTTCTGCCTAAGTGATAATGAAATCTAGTTCACTCAAAATTACATCAGGATATTTCCACTTTAAATATTCTGCATAAGTGTAACAAAAGGAGACTGGGAAAATCTATTAAACCTCCGCCTGGCTTTTATAAAGGTTGTCACAAAAGCCATTCAAACAAGAGTTAACAATTTTTCCCCCTCAGGAAGATTCTATAACATGTTGGAAAACACAAGTAAATGTCTCTAAAAGCATAGGACTGGATTTCTTTTTAATCCCCCTAAGGTATAGCCAGGTATAGCCTAAATTCCTCCTGCCGAAATTCTAAATAACGTAGGTCAATTTAGTAACTTCAATCCATCGGAAAGAAACAATGTCCTCTTCCAGAGCTGCTGAAGTGAACTACACTAGCATCCCCTTTTCCTTTAGCACAAGCTATTCCTGGTTCTGCCTTTCAGTCCATGTTGAAGACTCATTATATGATAGGCTTCTTATACACTGTTCAAACATTTCGATAATTTGTTCTAGTATAAAAGGTATGGTTGTTGGCTAAATAGGCAAAATCACTGGGGGACAACTATAGATGACAGTGTTCATTTTTCGTCTATTTACAGATCAACCCTTGTCAATGTCACCCCTATCCTCTCAACAAAATGGGTCTTTTCAGAAGAGGAAAAAACCAATCAGAACCCCCAGATGCTAAGTGACAGCGTTCCCAAAGCTCTACAGAGAAGAATCTCATGCCCTTTCTTACTGAGAACACTCTCTGTGGTTTTATAATTCAAGGACCACAACCAAGACAACTGAATGCCTTAAACGCATGTCTCCGCCCTCGCTGAGTTAATTTATTCACGAAAGAAAGCATCTTAGCCTTTCAGCAAAATGGGAAGAAGTCAAATCTCTCTCCTCCCTTTTGCACCAATGAAAACATCAAAGTTATCAAGATTCAAAACGTTGTCGTTTTACATCAGAAGGAAAGAGGTGACTCAACATGTAGTATTATAAGGGATATTCCCGCTGACTGTAAATCTGTCATTGTTAGCAGCTGCTTTAAGATGCTACTGTGATCCAGACACTTGAAATCCAGTTCAGACACACATTTTCTCATTATAAGTTGCTGTGTAAGATTCTGCTAAGGAACGCGCTGTCATGTTTGATATAATAGGTAATACGTTGCCTTTACGATACAGCAGGGCTGGGTCATGCTGTGTCTGTTTTGATTGTATCAGGCTGGTTTCATAAAAGCTCTGATCAGCTTGGCAATGGAAAAATGAGTGCAAACAGTGCAAAATGAACTCTCCCTGTCACTCTGGGAATCCGGAGTGAGTTTCTGGCTAGCTTAGGGAGCAGGGGAGACTTTAATGGAATTTAAGATTGTTGTACTTTTACTATTTCCATATCCTTGGGTGTATTTTGGATGTACTGAATTTTACAGAAAAATTTTAAAACAAGACATATGAAGGGCTTCTCTCTATAAATACTTGCCTGGGTTTCCTGCCACCACTACCAGTATGAATCGACATTATAACAAAGTATTCTACTGTGTCTGATGATCTCCAGCTTATATAAAGTAGAAAAATGCAGAATGTTAGATTGGAAAAATAACATGTTTTATTTTTTTCTGGACTACAGGTGAAGCTCAATTAAATATTTCTTGGGAAAGAAGGGAAGGGTGAGGTATGGTGTCACCCTTCATTGACACGACACCTTCCAGCAAACCAAAACTCTCCTTATTTACATGTATTCCCTTTAACGTTTGTGGTTTAGTGAAGTATCATTAGACCATACCTGACTTTTGTTGAATCTAAAATTATAGAGACGCTCAAAAAAGACACAGGAAAGGCTGAGTGGATAACTAACAATGAATGCGAGTAACTGAATTTCCCCACGTCTGTACTCAGTTCTGGTGTAAGTTAACCATGGAGGAAAATACCACTGGTCATATAAGTTATTTAATATTCCTTAATTTTCACTACAAATAGGACAGGCACTTTCCCTAAAGGAGGGCTTAGGTATGCTCTAGCCATTGAAAAGTAGTTCACTGTTTAAACAGCATCATTTTCCAAATGTTACAGCTAAGTGATACCTTTTGACACCATTATAAGTGGACCAATGAAGATCTCTATTCCATTTGAAAAGAATTAAGTGGATATTAAAAGCCCTCTCAAACCACCAAAACTATTATTAAACATAAAGTTATCTTGAGACATGGGTCTTTTTCCGTCTGTCTCCTAAACAACTGAGTTCTCGCAAAGCAGGCCAGCGGGTGTTCCCAATTTCAGAGTTCGAGAAACGTAAAGCAAAGCAAACATGACCTTTCCAATTAGCCTGTTTCCAAATAAAATAAGTGACCAACTACATGTCCAGCTACAGCCTATTAACCAAAATCAGAGAGGTATTGGTTCTTCCTATTTTTCAAAACTGTCAAGTCACAGAGTAAGGAACACTGTATCTGGCATAAACTCTATAGTATGAGATATTAAGATCTGTTAATGAAAAACATATAATAATGATAAGAGAAATCCTCTCTTTATATAAATGTTTCCCTTTGGATCAAACAACCCATCAGTACATTTTTATTCTGAATATTTAAGACAATAAACTCTGTGTGTGGTGCACAGAACTGCAGAACAACAAGCCTTCTGTTGGTTTCCACTTCTCTGGGCCATGTGAAAAAGAGGAAGGACAAGCTTCAAACAGGCGGGCAAAGAACGCTGAGAACCCTGGTTTTCCAGAATTGAAAACACTTACTTGGCCTTCAGTGTCTCCTCCTGAAAATTCCAGTGTGGGTCTTCCACCAGCTGTAATTCCCGTAATACCCTTCCAGGTTTGTAAGCTGCATTGATAATCATGCTAAGAACCTGTTGGGAAAAAGGAATCGCCGTGAACGTCCACTGCATCCATTTCTGCTAAAACAAGAATGTTTTAGAAACCACTCCGCTGATACTTCAGAGCTGTCTGCCCTGCACCTCCCGTCAGCAATGGGCTGGGATGGAGCCAGAGAGAATGTTTTGCAGCTTGGCACTGATGTGATCGCCATCAAGGGGATAGAAATCCGACGCCTCTGCCTGGGAGAGTGTGAACCGCTGGCCAGAGGGGAATGTCTGGCTCTCACTAATGTTCCTGGTTGCAGAAAAACTGAACCATTTTCTCCAAAGAGCCATGGATCATCCTTCAACTGGATTCCTCTTCAACAGTATCGGTTACTAAGAATTCCATTTTATCCTTAAAAATATATTTCAAAAGGAATCACTAAGATGGAGATGGGAGGTTTGTTCCAACGCTTCTGGATAAGCTTCAGATACTTGTACGGAGGGCTAAGAAATTACTTGAAACTCACCTGACGCTGACCCAATTTATGGACATTTAACATTAGGACATTTCTCAGAGACCTGAGTGTTCCGAAAGGAAGCCTGAGCGTCTAAACACCATCTGACAGCTTCCTCAAGCCACCCCTTCACTCCCAAGTCCCAAGTGCGAGAAAATGAACACGTGGTCAGAACCACTGCAACAGTCCCAGAGGGACCAGACATCTCCCTTCTAAAGCCTCAACTTCACGCTCTGAGGCACTCGTTTCCCATAAGCAAATCCTCATCAGCAATGAACGTTTATGAGTTCTGGCATGCTCGTGAGCTGTTGTTATTTGGATAGAGAGCTCAAAAAAATGTGAAGATGCAATGCAGCACATAAAGGAACACTGAGACCTCGGGGGCTTCGTTCCATGCAACGCCCATTCGCTGAGGATCTGCCCTGTGCCAAGCCCTGGAGCATACAGACAGCACACGGTACCCGCCATTCCTGAAGCCCCTCCCCGTCCAGAAGAGGAACGAGCCAGGCACTGAGTTCACGTGCCATGTTTCGGAGCAAAACCCCACTGAGAGAGTGAGAAAAATTCCTTATTGAGTTGGGAGGACACTGGCTATATTGCTGAGGCGCCTACTATTTTGTGAAGGAGACCAGCACAGTGTTAACGGGAAGAAAGAAGATGAAAAGTATGCTGCAGAAATTTTCAAGTCCCAGTTTTCATGTACCTGGTGTGTTCTGGAAAGTAATTGGTGTGGTCTGCACCCTGATTTAATTAAGAGAAACAAAGCCTTAATTAAGAGAAACAAAGCCTTCTCATAACTGAGGATTCGATCTTGAAATATTCTATACTCTACAGTCAGCATGGCAACTGTCTTTTTCTTGCCTGGGTGGCATTTTGCTATGTTCCCAGGTCCCTGTAAAGCCCCATCAAGAGAACATGTTTCAGCCAAGACGCCTAAAGGCCAGGACACAGCAATACAAGCAGTTAGTTCTATTGTGTTTGTTTTCTCTATTAGAATAATCATCTGATTTGATTATTTACTGTCAGTACAATTTACAGAAACCGAGTTTAAAAATAAATCCATTTGAAACTGGCTGAAATCATGCCCCAAGTGTTTATCAACAGACAATAAAATTCCAACTGAGTCTTTTCATTGTGTTTCGTTGAGAAAGCCCCAGAGCTACATCTTATTTGCTGCATAGAGAAATGCATTTTGTGACTGTGAAAAGAAAATGCCTTCCAGAGTTCAATTCAGAGTGGAAACAGGCAGCAATTAAATCGTAAAAGGCATGTGATATTGAATAATTTTCCCCTGGCTTTTCCCAATGTCACATCATTTGTCTCTAAATTCAACAAGCTCTCTAGAAAACTTTGGAATTGTGAGCTGAATAATTTATGTACCTGACATCTTAGTGTATTATAGTTACTCCATGAAAATAGCTAAGTTGACAGCTGTTATTGTGACCCAAGTTAGACTGCATTACTGTACCTTGCAAAACATCAGAATTCAAGTTATTACACTCTTGATCACAAAGGGTAGCTCAGACACTGCCCCCAATTAACTAACAGGATGTTAGCTGTGAAGCTGATGAACACTCTTCCCAATAAACTGGCATTAAGATTGCTTTGAGTATCTCAAGGAGGAAATTAGCGCTAGAGCAATGCCTCACTGGATTTCCTAGGCTTCATGAAATGTTTATTGGGAATACGCTTCTACACAGAAGTCCCCACAATATATTATTACAGAGAAGCAATAGCCTTTGTAAAGTTGGACAGATATGGGATGGGATCCCAGGTCCATCCCTTAGAAGCTAATCAAGCTTAGGCAAGATGCTTGATTGACTTTCCTCATCTGTATAATGGGGGCACTGCCATTTACCTGGTTCACAATGAAGGGGGTCAGAACTTATCACCTCAAGATATGCCACTCTGGCATAGGATTAATTTTTCCCTGACAAAACTAAGAAACAGCAGACACTGCAGGAACTCCCTGCCCTCCCCCTTTCTGCCTAAAACACTGTGAAAGTGTCCCCCTCCCCGCTCTTGGACCAGAAGGAAAACAACCCTTGTCACTGGAGAAACAAAGATGGCCCAGAGATGACTGCACAAACAAATCTTACTAGGAAAAAAAACCCCCTTGCATATACATAACAGTCCTCCAAGCCCAGACCCCTTTCCCTTTGTCTGATCACCTCTCCACAATGTACTGTCTTTTATTAAAATGGTATGTAAAAATCTCAAGCCTAATGGCTTCTTTGGTTTTTAATTTCTTGCAACCCTTTTCTCCTGTTAATCTGTCTTTTGTCAGTTTAATTTACAGGCCCTACTTACTGAACCTAAGAGGGTAGAGGAAAAGATTTTCTCCCCTGTAATAAGGATGTTGTGAGAAATAAAGGAGGTAGCAGCTCGGCACATAAAAAATGTTTAAGGTAGCCCTCTTCTTGATATCCAAGCAGTCCTCATCCACCCACAAAACAAACTCTCCCTGAGCCTTCATCTCTCTATTCTCGTTGGCCTGTATTTATGTTTCAGTATCGCACCTTCGCAAAATAACTCTCCTTAGAAGCTCCCGACTTTCTTGCTACTGTCTCTTCTTCAGAACCCAACTTCTCAAAAAAAAAAAAGTCTATACTTTTAAATTCTTCATCTTCAATTCTCAACCCACCCAAATCTGGCTTTTTCTCCAAGCAGTACACAAAACTGAAGGGCACTGATGACCTAATTCTCAAATCCAAATTGCGCTCCCATCTCTCTGAACCTCCGAGGACTCCGACAGTGCATTCCACGGCCCCGTCCTGCTGCGCCTCTTGCTCTCCTACCTCTGCTCCATCAGGCGTAAAAAGTTTGCTCAGAAAACGGTGAGTGAGTCAGTTACAGGAGAAGAGAGAAGGGTCATCAGAGGGAGGAAGAGACAAATAGAACAGAGCGTAGGTGGTGTCGGCAGGGGACGAAGCAAACAGCGCCAAGCGTCTGGTACCCGGGAGCCCCTCAGTGAATGCGTGTCTCCTTCTCTTGCCCCTGCCCTTTCAGGTACAAGGTCAGCACTCAAAGGATTCCGTAAATCGGCGGGATTTTTTTCTGTCCACTTCGTGAAATCACGGAATTCTGTTATTTCCTTTCACATGCACTATCATGAAAACTTCTCCCCAAACACCAGAAGTAACTAAGATCGCTTCCAACGTCAACTATATCATATGATTAAAGTTATAACAATGTTGAAAGTGCAGGAAACCACTTAATAGGAAAATTAGTTCTCTGAGTGTTAAAATTAGAAAACACTTCAGAACGCAAATATGAGCTCCCACAGCTCAGGTTGGGCTAACTTAATGGAAAGAAGACAGGTTCCTGACCTCAAAGGTTTGTCATCTGTTGAATTCTAGCGGCCAGGGCGGGAGATGTCTCTTTAGGTCAAACATTTAGAGAGAGACTGGCCCACAGGGAAACAGGAAGGAGGATATTCTCTCTCTGGCGAAGTCAGAAGAAGGATCTGGATGCAAAGGAGCCCCTCCTCCACATGTTCACTGTTACAGCAGACCTTTCTGCTCTGCAGTCTATCCAAGAGCCACAGTTACAATAATTAGCTTTTTATAGAAATCGGGACCATCAAAGGCCCTCACGGGCCTCAAAGATGATTTCTTTCAATTTCAAAATCAGGTGAAACGGAGATAATTTTATGAATGGGTTTTTTAAAATAATAAAATGATAAAAAATTTCTCTTGCCTAACCAGCCATTCCCATCAGTAGGGCTTTGCCAGGTGGATGGGATACATAAAGTGCGAGAGGACCAAAATGAGACAAGACTCTGATGTGAGCACCTGTGCTGTCAATACAAGTAGAGGCCCCGCGAGTTGCAGAGCAGACAGACAAGCAGAGTTTTATTTTTGTAAATGGAGAATATTAATTAAAACACGTCTCCAAACCCAAAGAAGGAGTTTGGGTTTCAGACGAACTGTAGCAGCTGTGCTTCTTTTCCCAGAGTGAAGTCACATTTATCCTACACCCCGCAGAGGTCCACAGTGTTATCAATGGAGTACGCAGCATTTCTTCTTAAACGCTCACAAAAGTAAACGTCACCAAAAACTGAAAATAAAGGAAGATGTTCTCGTAAGAGCAAAGAGGAAGCAGCAGGGTCTTTCCTTCTCTGCAGCGCAAACGTAACCTTCTAAGAAGCCAAAGGAAAGCACGAAACAAGCTTGGAAAAGAAAACAAGACTTTTCCAAGTGATTTACCCTTAAACGTAGGTGTTTTCATTCAGTCTCCCGAATAACTGACTGCTCTGGGCACGCCCCCAAAATTAATGCAACTGCTGCATCTAATATACCCCCAACATATTACCTAATAGTCACTATGCTCATCTCTCCTTTGGTTATTAGTTACAAAAATTGTAATAAGAACAGTAATAATCTGACATGTTTTCCCAGGTGGACTCTATTGCTTGGGCTGAAACTGCCCTCTACCTTTGTTTAGATTCTCAACGGAAGGCTCACCTCCCCTGGACAACCCACCACCTGGAGAGCAGGCCCTTCCCCCGCTTCCCAGGCTCAAAGGCAAGGG